TCGATGAGGGGATCCCCACTAATCTGGGGGGTGCAAGCCGCCTGCCCCACGTCAATACCTGACATATAGAAAGTATATAAATATTGAAAGCAGTATATTGGGACCCTCCTTGATGGTTAGTGGCACTATAATTCTAAAAATCTGACTAACCTCTCCACTATTTGGACATAGTATGTGCCTCACTGGCATATGATAGATCAGTGATCCTAGGTGAACTTCCAAGTAATGGCAGTATAATAATGACTACGTTCACTTTTCCAGAAAGTAGCCCATGCAGTCAAGGGGATAATAAAAATCTGTGCTGCTTTGTAAAATGATCATTATTTTATTGTGTTACCTGTAGGCCATTTGGGTCCCCTCAGAAGCCTGGCTAATAAACTAGTTAACCTCCACATCTTGACTCATTGCTTGGACGTGAAACATTGGTTTTCAGTTCTGCAAGACTTGGAGAGAGCATCCAACAGTTTTTGCATCCTAGCAACAAGTCAAGGGGTTCCTAACTAGGAGTTCATTAGCCAGGCTTCTGGAATAGGAGTGATGAGGGTGGAGACTTGTTGGAGTAACCAGTGCAGAAAATTTACTGCTGAAAAGTGTCCTGGAGACCTGGATAATGATAATTTTTCAAAGTGACTCAGATTGTTCTCATCTTCTATAGCCTCCTAACTGCATAGGCCAGGGGTTGCCAACTTATGAGCTAAAATGTGACCCTTGACATCACCAAAGGGCTGCACATAATATTCAATATACACTGCTCAAAAAAATTAAAGGAACACTTTGAAAACACATCAGATCTCAATGGGGAAAAATATCATGCTGGATATCTATACTGTTATGGACTGGGTAATTTGTTAGGAATGTAAGGATGCTCCATTGTTTGATGGAAATGAAAATGATCAACCTACAGAAGACTGAATTCAAAGACACCCTGAAAATCAAAGTGAAAAAATGATGCAGCAGACTAGTCCATTTTGCTCAAATTTCATTGCAGCAACTCAAGTAGATTGTATGGCCCCCAAATGCTTGTATGCATGACAACGTCGGGACATGCTCCTAATGAGACAAGGATAGTGTCCTGTGGTATTTCCTCCCAGATCTGGACCAGGGCACCACTGAGCTTCTGGACAGTCTGAGGTGCAACCTGGCGTCGTCGGATGGACCGAAACATGATATCCCAGAGGTGTTCTATTGGATTTAGGTCAGACAAGCGTGTGGTCCATTCAATAGTATCAATTCCTTCATCCTCCAGGAACTGCCTGCATACTCTCGCCACATGAGGCCAGGCATTGTTGTGCATAAGGAGGAACCCAGGACTCACTACACCAACGTAGGATCTGACAATGGGTCAAAGGACATTGTCTAGCCTGTAGAGGTCTGTGCGTCCCTCCATGGATATGCCTCCCCAGACCATCACTGACCCACCACCAAAACGGTCATGCTGAATGATTTTACAGGCAGCATAATGTTCTCCATGGCTTCTCCAGACCTTTTCACATTTGTCACATGTGCTCAGGGTGAACCTGCTCTCATCTGTGAAAAGCACAGGGCACCAGTGGCGGACCTACCAATTCTGGTGTTCAAGGTGCCAATCGAGCTCTATGGTGCCGGGCAGTGAGCACAGGGTCCACTAGAGGATGTTGGGCCCCCAGGCCACCCTCATGAAGTCTATATTTCTGATTGTTTGGTCAGAGACATTTACAGCAGTGTCCTGCTGGAGGTAATTTTGTAGGGCTCTGGCAGTGCTCATCCTGTTCCTCCTTGCACAAAGGACCAGATAGTGGTCCTGCTGATGGGTTAAGGACCTTCTATGGCGCTGTCCAGCTCTCCTAGAGTAACTGCCTGTCTTCTGGAATCTCCTCCATGCTCTTGAGACTGTGCTGGGAGACACCCCAAACCTTCTGCCAATGGCACATATTGATGTGCCATCCTGGAGGAGTTGGACTGCCTGATCAACCTCTGTAGGGTCCAGATATTGCCTCATGCTACCAGTACTGTAATGAAAATATCAGTTGCCTCCACCTGTAAAACCCCTCCTGTTTTGGGGATCGCCTCATTGTGGCCAATCTAGTGCACCTGTTGTTAATTTCATTAACACCAAAGCAGCTGAAACTGATTAACAACCCCCTCTGCTACTTACCTGACCAGATCAATATCCCAGGAGTTTAATTGATTTGATGCTATATTCTGGTGTTCCTTTAATTTTTTTGAGCAGTGTATGTAATGCTTGAGTGGATGGTCATAAACGGCAGACATAATAACAGATCAGAGTCAGAGAGTGTGGACATTTTTCGATGGGGATATGCTGCAGAGGACAATACAAAACTGGGAACATGTTACATGAGGCTAGTAGAGATCATTGCTATTACCTTAACCACTTGCCCTCCAGACGATTTACCCCCCTTCCTGACCAGACTATTTTTTTTGCGTTACGGGTCTGTGCTATTTCAACTGGTAATTGCGCGATCACGCAAAGCTGTACCCAAACGAAATTTATGTCCTTTTTTTCACACAGAGTTTTCTTTTGGTGGTTTTTGATAACTGCTGGGTTTTTTATTTTTTGTGCTATAAACTAAAAAAAGACCGAAAATTTTGAAAAGCGATAATTTTTACTTTCGATTATAAAAAATAGAAAACTCAAAGTTAGTCATAAATTTAGGCCAAAATATATTCTGCTACATGTCTTTGCGCTAGTTTAACTGACAATTGTGCAGTAATGCAATACTGTACATAAATTAATTTTATGTCCTTTTTTTTCACAAAAATAGATCTTTCTTTTTGTTATATTTGATCACCTCTGGGCTTTTTTTTTTGTGCTGCAAAAAAAAAAAGACAGAAATTTTCAAGAAAAAACTATATTTTCTCATTGATGTCATAAAAAATATCCAATAAACTCAAATTTTGTCATAAATTTAGGCCAAAATGTATTTTGCTACATGTCTTTGGTAAAAAAAAAAAAAAAAAACCATTAGGTGTATAATAATTGGTTTGTGTGAAAGTTATAGCTTCTACAAATGGTGGTATAAATATTGGAATTTATGCCATTTTTTGCTATACAGCGCTGCGCTAGTCTAACTGACAATTGCGTGGTCATGCAATACTGTACATTAATTGAAATTTATGTTCTTTTTTCACACAAATATAGCTTTCTTTTGGTGGTATTATTTGATCACCTCTGGACTTTTTTTTTGTGCTACAAAAAAAAGACAAATTTTTTAGAAAAAACTATATTTTCTCATTTCTATAATAAAAAATATCCAATAAACTCAAATTTCGTCATAAATTTAGGTCAAAATGTATTTAGCTACATGTCTTTGGTAACAAAAATTCCCAATAACTGCATATTAATCAGCTTTTACTTTCTGACTGCCTGTCACATTTTTTTTAGGTGCTAAAATACCAGGGCAGTAACCCCCCCCCCCCCCCCATCCCTCCAAATGACCCCTTTTTGGAAAGTAGACACCATAAGCTATTTGCTGAGAGGCATGTTGAGTCCATGGAACATTTATTTTTTCCTACAAGTTTTTGGAAAATTACCAAAAAATGTTTTCTCTTTTTTTTTACACAAAGTTGTAATTTTAAATGATATATTGCTCACATATGCCATGGGTATATGTGGACTTTCAACCCAAAATACATTCTGCTACTTCTACGGAATATGGGGATACCACATGTGTGAGACTTTTTGGGAGCCTTGCCACATACAGGAGCCTGAAATCCAAAGAACACTTTAAAAGCCTGAAGGTGCGTAACTTCCTCATTCCACTTCCTCACTACCTATCATAGTTTCTGAGGCCCTGAAATGCCAGGATAGCACCAAACACCCCCAAATGACCCTTTTTTTTGGAAAGTAGACATCCAAAGGAATTTAATAAGAGGCATTGTGAGAAAAAAAATGAGATCTGTAAAATACTCACCAAGTTTTGAAATATAAAAAAGAAAATATATATTTTTGTTTTCTTTCTTAATTTTCCAAAAACTTGTGACAACAAACGAGATCTGCAAAATACTCACCATGCTTCTTATCAAATTCCTTGGTGTGTCTACTTTCTGTAATGGGTAGTCAGGAAGTGTAATGAGGAAATAAAGCCCTTTATAAGCCTGAAGGTGCTTACTGGATTTTGGGGTCCTGTACAAGTCTAGACTGCCAAAAAGTCTCTCACATGTGGTATACCTATACTCGGGAGAAATAGCAGAATGTATTTGGGGGACTAATTCCACATATACCCATGGAATGTGTGAGCAAATATATAATTTAAGTGACAACTTTGTGTAAAAAAAAAAAATTATATATACCGTATTTTTCGCTCCATAAGACGCACGTGACCATAGGACGTGCCTAGGTTTTAGAGGAGAAAAACAAGAAAAAAAATATTCTGAACCAATGGACTGCAGACACAGTACAGGAAATGACCAGAGACTGCGGACACAGTACAGGAGATGGACCACAGACTGCGGACACAGTACAGGAGATGACAGAGACTGCAGACATAGTACAGGAGATGACCAGAGACTGCGGACACAGTACAGGGAGATGACCAGAGACTGCGGACACAGTACAGGAGAGATCAGAGACTGCAGACAGTACAGGAGATGACCAGAGACTGCGGACACAGTACAGGAGATGACCAGAGACTGCGGACACAGTACAGGAGATGACCAGAGACTGCGGACACAGTACAGGAGATGACCAGAGACTGCGGACACAGTACAGGAGATGACCAGAGACTGCGGACATAGTACAGGAGATGACCAGAGACTGCGGACACAGTACAGGAGATGACCAGAGACTGCGGACACAGTATAGGAGATGACCAGAGACTGCGGACACAGTATAGGAGATGACCAGAGACTGCGGACAGTACAGGAGATGACCAGAGACTGCGGACACAGTACAGGGGATGACCAGAGACTGCGGACACAGTACAGGGGATGACCAGAGACTGCGGACACAGTACAGGGGATGACCAGAGACTGCGGACACAGTACAGGGGATGACCAGAGACTGCGGACACAGTACAGGAGATGACCAGAGACTGCGGAGACAGTACAGGGGATGACCAGAGACTGCGGACACAGTACAGGGGATGACCAGAGACTGCGGACACAGTACAGGGGGGATGACCAGAGACTGCGGACACAGTACAGGGGATGACCAAGAGACTGCAGACAGTACAGGTGATGACCAGAGACTGCAGACAGTACAGGTGATGACCAAGAGACTGCAGACAGTACAGGAGATGACCAGAGATTGCGGACCTTTAGGGAGGGAGGGGGAGTGGGTACCTGAATTTGACAGGTACCCGCTCCCACTTCTGCGTGGAGCTGTCCTCCCTTTACTGTGGGCACCCGGCTGTGACAGCCAGGTGCCCACTGCGCTGCACTTTGTGAATGTCCCGGCGTCTTCTGGGACCTGTCATGTGTCCCAGAAGACGCCGGACCATTCACAAAGCGCAGTGCTTCTCGCACATGCGCAGTGGGCACCCGGCTGTCACAGATGCTGCCGCGGGAAGAAGCCGGCACGGGAAGACTGTACAGCGCTGGACTGAGGAACAGGTAAGGTCCTGCAGCAGAGAACAGCTGAGCGGCTGGCCCGGTATTCTGACATGGTGATGGCGGAAATACGGACCGGCCGCTTTATATTTGCTCCATAAGACGCACTGACATTTTCCCCCCTTTTTGGGGGGGAAAAAAGTGCATCTTATAGAGCGGAAAAATACGGTATATATACAGTGAAGGAAATAAGTATTTGATCCCCTGCTGATTTTGAATGTTTGCCCACTCACAAAGAAATGATCAGTCTAAAAATCGAATGGTAGGTGTATTGAAACACTGAGACAGAATAGCAACAAAAAAATTCAAAAGAAATGCATGTCTAACAAATTATGCACTGATTTGCATGTTCATGAGGGAAATAAGTATTTGATCCCCTACCATTCAGCAGGATTTCTGGCTACCAGGTGTCTTTCATACAGGTAACATGCTGAGATTAGAAGCAGTCTCTTAAAGGGAGTGCTGCTAATCTCATGTTATCTGTATAAAAGACATCTGTCCACAGAAGCAATCAAACAATCAGATTCCAAACTCTCCACCATGGCAAAGACCAAAGAGCTGTTCAGGGATGTCAGGGACATGATTGTAGACCTACACAAGGCTGTACTGGGCTACAAAACTATCGCCAAGCAGCTTGGTGAGAAGGTGACAACAGTTGGTACAATCATTCGCAAATGGAAGAAACACAAAACAAACCTGTCAGTCTGCCTAGGTCTGGTGCACCATGCAAGATCTCACCTCGCAGCTGGGACCACAGTCACCAAGAAAACAATTGTTAACATACTACGTTGACAAGGATTGAAAACCTGCAGTGCCCGCAAGGTCCCTCTGCTCAAGAAAGCACATGTCAGGCCCGTCTGAAGTTTGCCACTGAACATCTGAATGATACGCAGAGAAGGAGCTGGTTGAAAGTGTGTGTGGTCAGATGAGACCAAAATCGAGCTGTTTGGCATCAGCTCAACTCGCCGTGTTTGGAGGAGGAATGCTGCCTTTGACCCCAAGAACACATTCCACCCAACTGTCAACATGGTGGTGGAAACATTCTGCTTTGGGTGTGTTTTTCTGCTAAGGGGACAGGACAACTGCACCGTATCAAAGGGACGATGGATGGAGCAATGTACCCGTGAGGAGGTGGGCCAAAATCCCTCCTGAGATGTGTGCAAACCTGGTGGCCAACTACAGGACAACGTCTGACCTCTGTGATTGCCAAAACAAAGGATTTGCCACACAAGTACGAAGTCATGTTTTGTGAAGGGGATCAAATAATTATTTCACTCATGAACATGCAAATCAGTGCATAATTTGTTAGACATGCATTTCTTTTGAAATTTTTTTTTTTACTCTTTTGTCTCTGTGTTACAATACACCTACCATTTGACTTTTTAGATGATCATTTCTTTGTGAGTGGGCAAACATTCAAAATCAGCAGGGGATCAAATACTTATTTCCTTCACTGTGTGTATGTATGCATTTATGTATATGTGTGTGTATATATATATATATATATATTATATATATATACAGTTGTGTCCAAAATTATTCAACCCCCACTGAAATTGAGTTGTTTTGGCCAGTTTGACATTGCTTTTGATCATTCAGTCATCTTGCTTACATTTACATTAAAGAGGCACTTGTAGGTCAGACAAAATATAACATAACAGTTATAATGAAATAACCACAAATGTCTTTTCTGTGCTCACAGCATTATCAGTTTTATTCAACCCCAAGTGACATTCAATCTTAGTACTTAGTAGTAAGCATCCTTTTACAGTTATAACAGCTTTTAAACGTGAAGCATAGCTTGACACAAGTGTCTTGCAGCGATCTACGGGTATCTTCGCCCATTCTTCATATGGCAAAGGCCTCCAGTTCAGTCACATTCTTAGGCTTGCGCACTGCAACTGCTTTCTTTAAGTCCCACCAGAGGTTCTCAATCGGATTTAAGTCTGGTGACTGCGATGGCCACTCCAAATGTTCCAGCCTTTCCTCTGCAACCATGCTCTAGTGGACTTGGAGGTATGCTTGGGATCATTGTCCTGTTGAAAGGTCCAACGTCTCCCAAGCCTCAGGTGTGTGTGACGGACTGCATCACGTTTCCATCCAATATCTCCTGGTACTGAAGAGAATTCATGGTACCTTGCACACGCTGAAGCTTCCCTGTACCTGCAGAAGCAAAACAGCCCCAAAGCATGATTGACCCTCCACCATGCTTCACAGTAGGCAAGGTGTTCTTTTCATCATAGGCCTTGTTATTCCTCCTCCAAACATAGCGTTGATCCATGGGCCCAAAACAGTTCTAATTTTGTTTTTCATCAGTCCACAGAACACTATCCCACAACTTTTGTGGTTTGTCCACATGGCTTTTGGCATACTGCAGTCGACTCTTCTTATTCTTTGGAGACAGCAAGGGGGTACGCCTGGGAGTTCTGGCACGGAGGCCTTCATTACGCAGTGTGCGTCTTATTGTCTGGGCTGAAACTTCTGTACCCACATCTGACAAATCTTTTCTCAGTTCCTCAGCAGTCACACGGGGACTTCTCTCCACTCTACGCTTCAGGTAGCGCACAGCAGTCGAAGTCAGCATCTTCTTTCTGCCACGACCAGGTAGCGTTTCAACAGTGCCCTTTGCCTTGAATTTGCGAATGATGCTTCCTAAGGTGTCTCTTGGTATGTTTAACATCTTTGCAATCTTCTTATAGCCATTGCCCTTCCTGTGAAGAGAAATCACCTCTTCTCTTGTCTTCCTGGACCATTCTCTTGCCTTCACCATGTTTGTAACCACACCAGTAAATGTCTAGAAGGAGCTGAGTATCACAGTCATTTTAAAGCTGCCTAATTGGTGCTTATTATGCTTGATTGCTGCTCGGTGACATCCACAGGTGTTTTCAATACCTGATGGAAAGCACCTGTATGAACCTCTGTTCTTCAGAGTGGTAGTCTTTAAGGGGTTGAATAATTGTGGCAATGAAGAAACCACATAAGAACCATTTACTACTGTATTACATAAACAATTGATGTCATTTTAGTTGCATTATATATATATATATATATATAGTTTTTTTAATTTTTTTTGTCATTTTAAAAATAAAACTTATGGTAAAAATATAATCTCTTCTATTGACTGGACATGACTCTCAGTAAATAGTTTGCGGTGTCTACTTTACAAAAAGAGATCATGGGGGGGGGTGGCTATTTTATGTCCAGCATTAGAAGTTTATGCCACACATCACTCACTCCTCACTCTTCTAACCACCTGAAGACCAAGCCTGTTCTGACACTTTTTGTTCACATGAATAAAATCAGTAATTTTTGCTAGGAAAAATTCCTTTGACCCCCCAGACATTATATATTTTTCCAAAACGTTTTTTCAAACGCAATTTAAAAAAAATACACTTTTTTTTACTTTTAATGCACAAAAACACAATATACTGGCCAATTGTTTGGTAAAATAGTGAAAAGATGATGGTATGTCGAGTAAAATAGATACCAAACATGACAAACGCCCCCGTGCAATGGTGACAAACTGCATACATTTTCAATATTCATAGGCGATGCATGGTTCAAATGCTGTTTACATACCAGTACGGGGGTCAATGCTTGCACACGCATTCACATGCATATGGGAGGGGGGTGCTGGGTTTTTTTTTTTTTTTAAGTTACTTGATTTTTTTTTTTTTTTTTACACTGTCCCTTTTAATTTTTTTAAAATTATTTTTCCAATCACTTTTATTGCTATCACAGGGAATGTAAATATCCCCTGTGACTGCAATAGGCATTGATGGGTATTCTTTTTTGAGTCTGTTAGACTCTAGATATCTCCTCTGCCCTTACATCATCTAATCAGAAATAAGATCGGTATGATCAAATGCTTTCCCAATTTACAAATGGCGCTGTTTTATATCCTGCAAAACTGAAGTGATGAAATGCTTGTAGCTTCCGATTAGGCTATAGAGATGATTGGCCCATTCCGGTCTCCAATCAGCTCTATGGTCAGCTGGCAGAAACACCGGCTGCATTCCCAGATTCCCCCAATGGCACGGGACTGCCCAAGAGAGCCGTGGAAGGCAGCGGGGCATAGTCTCCCGCTGCCTGTAAAAGCAATCCTGCAGCTAATTAGCCACTAGGATTGCTTTTACATGTAAGCCAATAGCCGGGGTAAAAAAAACTATACCAGGATGATACCTGCAGCTGCAGGCATCATTCTGGTATACCCCACTCAAAGTCCAGTGATGTACCAGTACGTTGCTGGTCTTTGTTGGGTATATATGATATATGTTCTTTTTTTTTTTATGCAGCCTGTGGGTTGAATGAAAAAGAGAGAGAAAAATCTCTGCCAGAAAAAGTGGTGTGGTATGCGCACCATTAGAATATACTGTCCTGCATCCACCCACTTTTAATGGTGGGCACACATGAAACTTTTTTTTTTTTTGTCGTTCAGCCTGTGGGATGAATGAAAAAAAAGAACCTACCAGATTCCCCTATTCACATCGATCTATGTGGATGAAGAAATCTCTGCCAAAAATGTTTTTAAAAATGTATACCGAAGCATAGGGGCCATCCACCCACTGGCCACCCCAGGCCCCCATGCTTGGGCATATATGCTATTTTTTAACTGCAGATGAAAAATCTCATCCAACAGTGCTGCACACACTTACTTATGTATATTCTCCAAGCAAGACCCTGTTGCTGTCAGAATAAACAGGTCGGTGCTGCAGCTGAATGGCATTCCTGCAAAGAAAACAGCAATGGTTAACAATAAAACAACTTTTTTTTTTTTATTGAAACCTGTACCAAAAAATATTATAAAATATAAATGCCGAAGCATAGGAGCCATCTACCCACTGGCCACCCAGGTCCCCATGCTTGGGCATATATGCTCTTTTTATAACTGCGCATTAAAAATATCACCTGACAGCTCTGCACACACTTGCATGTGTTCTGAGAGCAAGACTCTGTTGCTGTCAGAATAAACAGATCTGT